CCCCCCCCCCCCCCCGAAATTAATTCCTATATACGCCACTGTGCTACGCGGATTGGTTCGCGGTGACTGCGTTACCCCTTCGCCCTTCTTCTCAATGACTGCCGGTACATCGCACAGTAACTTCGCACGGCCGACGAAAAGTCGTTCCGTTTGCGCGTAGTAGTCGCTGTGCAGGACACACTGTGATTATTAATTCATTCGGTAGTGAATATAGGGGGAGAGTACCTGTATTGCTGTAAATCCTCACCCTGAAATATTAAAAAAAAAAAAAATTGGCATCATTTTGACGAATGACCTTTTTTATTTTTTTTTACTAATTTAAAATTTTAATGTTTTTCAAGGAATATACAATACATTGATAGAATAATAATTGGAAATGCATTACGTTATGTCCTACGTGAACGCGACGAAGATGAATTTGCGGCTAACCATTTTCTGATATTTTTTATTTGTTGACCGTGCAGTGTGCAATCTGTATCTGTACTTTTCTTTAAACTTATTTCAGAGAACATTTTTTTTTTCTTTTTGATACTCAATCCCTCCTTAAGATTTTTATTTCTAAAATGTTCGTTGCGCAAATACATTTCGGGTATGTTCGCAAAAGATACAGATCACGTAGAAAATAGTGGAAAATAGATAAGAAAAAAAAAAGTTATGGACTTTATTTATATTAAATAAAGTTATTTATTATATTAAAAAAAGTTATATTTTCCATGTGTTTCATTATTTTTGAGCCAAACGTACTTTATATTCCATACCCGGAATCGTGGATAAGAAGAAGCACCTCAAAAAATCGAAAAATGCTAAATGCTTAAAAGCAATACTCTTGTTCGAAATTGGCAGTTCCGAAGAAGTAAATTTGATCGCCTCGTATCATTATTTATCAACAATATTATGAACTCAATGAGACAAATGATTATATCCGTTCATAAAACACCATCACTCTTTATTTCAGAAACATTTTCCCGATATAAAGTATCTAATAATTAGATACAATAATACAATAATTAGATTCTAATTATTAAACATTACAAAGTAATTTTGATTTTCAAAAAAAACACATGTAAATCTCTTTACTCGGCCCAGAAAATTATGACTTCCACAAATTATTAAGTTAACCGATGATCATTACGTGTTATTTATAATGGTAACTTTTACAACACATAACCGAAACTATAAGAAATTCATAAAAATAAACTAAATACTCAAAAAACTTATGATAACGTTTAAATTATTAGTATTTTAAAAGTACTTCGGTAATGGCAAATTCTAATATAAACTATTTAAAAAATCTTATAGAAACCAATCAATTATATTTTGGTTGATTAAAATGTTATATTCATTTTAGGAATAAAAACAGGTTACTCATGTTTTTAATAGAAATTCTGGCATCATTCTAACTATTAAATGTTTTTAACTAAAAAAGTATTTTAATTTAATTCTATAGTTTACAAAATACTAGCCTTAGGTGATATAACTAAAATAGCAAAATTATTTTAAGCATGTGTTTCTTAAAAAAAAAAAACGTAATTGTATTATATTTATTTGGGAAATTCTTATACTAATCAATTATTTTACTTTAGAGAAAATTTTAACTGAAAGATAAATGATTAAGCACAATAAATATAAGTAGCATAATAAAAGAAAACTCTAAATTTCAATAAAAATTATAGTGAACATAGGATATTACTTGATATTTATTTTGGAAAATAAAAATTGTAATTAAATAAAATACATATTTTTATATTTAATAAAAACCCCTTTTAACCGAGTTATTTTCAATGAATATATTATTCATATTTGTTTCATTTATGAAATTTTTACCATTACTTTAACATTTTTAAAAAATAGACACAATACTGAATTTATCAATCCTTATTTTTCACACTTCACAATTAAACTTTTTTTTTTTATTATTATAATGTTATTATATTATTAATTTAGGTTTGGCGAGAAAACTATAATTTTACACCTTATTTTTTGTTTAAAATTTAATTTTAAAATATCTTAGAATTTAATACATTATTAAATAAGTTAACAATAAATTACAAAATTAATGTGAGCAACACAATAAGTATATATAAATAAATTGTGAATTTATAGTTATATTTTATCGTATTAATAGAGTACACAACTGATATCATGTTAATTAAATTATTCGTTTAGTTATCACAAATATTAAATATATTATAAGTAGACATGTTGAAACTAAAAAAATATCATTAATTATTTAATTGGCCTAACAAAGAAAATTTGTTATGCTTCCCCGGGTGAACTATGTCGTTTGATTTAGGTTTTAAATAAAATGAAATTTTCATCAGTATGCTGTAAAAGTAATAATTTTAAAATATTTCACTTTTTATAATGATAAATTACTTACTTCCTAAAAATACATTTCGAACAAATATCGCGAATTAGATTTATGTAATTCGGCGTATGCAAATTTACACAATAATCAATCAGTGGAAATAAGCCCCATCGACTTATTCGACAATTGTTGACAATATATTTTATTTACTAATTTATGTGATTAGTTGAATTGATTTGACGGTTATTGAATAATTAAAAATCAAATCAAACAACAGCTAATGAATAAATAATAATAAATTAATCCATGAAAGTAACTACAATTTATGTAACCAACAATTAATTCAAATAATTAAATTTTTTTTTTTTAAAAATACAGTAACTTGCTTCAAAACTAGTGAAATAATTTTTAATTTTAAAACCAATAAAACTAACATATAATATTAGTATACCCACTGTTATTATGTGTAAGAAGTAATTTTATTGTTTTTTCAATAGTCCAAGGGATATTTGGCTTTAGATTAATTCATAAGAAGCTTATGGAATCGTATTAAATTTAAAGTTTAAATAGCTTTGAATTTATAAACATATAAAACATATAACAGTAGGTTAATTAGGTGCAGACTTTGTTTTTGATTTATGTTCGACGCAAATACTTATGATCACCTCGACTAATCAATTTATGATAATATGTGAAAAGGGTTTGAATAAATGTGAAATGCTTTAAATTCCAATGACAGGGTGTTCGGTTAATGCAAGAAACTGAGAAAAGACGAACAGACGATGGAGAAAAAAGAGGCGAGAAGAAAAACAACAGACTTGCCAGTCGAGTTATACAGTACAGTCAGTTAGGTAGTTTGGTATTGCAATCCGTGAAAGCCGCTGCCGCGGGAAGATATACATGCCAAGCAACAAATGGAATCAACTACGATAGCAATGACAACAAAATGATGAGCAATTCCGTACGGTTGTTCGTAAAACGTGAGTACACTATAAAAAAAAAAATGCGAATAATTTAAAATAAAAAAATAAAATAAAAAATTTATATTTTCCAGTTCATCTTGACCATTCAATATTTATAACTGAACGATTAATTAATTAAAATCGTTCTTTTTTACACATATTTATTTACATATTATTTACACGTAATACAAATTGACTTTTGTCTCACTATATTATACTCGCTGAAATATTGTATGTTACGAGGTTTTATTTTCCATTCTTGTCACTTAGTTGTTTGCTAAGTTGTGTTTTTCGTCGTCCGAGTTTTGCGCATATTGATATTGGCTTTCTCAGCACCAAGTTAATACAACTATTTTTATTATCATACTATGTTTGTATTTATTTTTTATAATACCTCTTCCCCGTAAACGTATAATGTCCCGTCCATTTCACTTGACCCGCAGTTGTTGGTCACCTACGTATGTACATAACAATGCAGTGGGAGTCCGCCAACGTAGTGTTTCGTGGTTTTAATGGCTTTACGTGAACATTTCGATGACATTTTGATAACAATAATGTCCATATGATGTATATTTAAATGTCGTTTTTATTAATTTGTTTTTCATAAAATAATGTTAAGTATTTAATGAATGACCGCAAAAAAAAAAAAAACCTTCTCTCTAATAATCATCATGCATAATTAAGATTCTTTTGATATTATTGTTTAATATATAACTCATTATAAATGTATATACTGTTTTCACCAAGTACAGTTAATCAAAATTTAATTCCTGTGTCTTGATTGTTTATTGTTTATAAGGTTTTCGAGAAATTATTTGAAAAATAATACATTTTTGAATTTAGTTGAAACAGTGATTAGAAAATGTAAGATTCTAATTAAAAATACGTTTACAAATTGTTTTCATACTTAATTAAATATAATATCGATAAGATTCAAAAAATATATTTTGTAAATTGACTGTGTGAATTAGAATTAAAAATGTAAAAAAGTGTTTTCTGGTATGATTAAATTTGAGCTATATTATTAAAGTCAGTGATAAACCATAATAAAAGTTGATAAAATAATGCATTGCGAAAATATAGACAGTTTAATGTATATACTGTTAGTTGAAGTGGATGTAAAACTATAATCCCCAGATTGTAAGCTTTATTTGATTGCGGTTTCAAGTCCCACCTGTTAGAAATTAGTACATATAAGAACATGTAATAACTGAATACACCATTTGTGGAGTAATGACATAGAACTTGAAACATGTTAACTGGTGGAGAGTAAGGATCTGGAAACATTTAAAAGTAATAGAAAGAAAGTGTAAATACATTTTATGTGTACAAGATTAATGAAGTGGAAATCTGATACTTCATTAAAACAATCTAATAAAAATTATATTCAACATCAAATCTAATAAATATAACTATTTTTTTTAAATCAGTAATTATTTATTTTTAGTTTTATATAAAACTCAATCAAATCTTGAAAATATTGTTACTGTTGTAATTCGTTTTAATTAAGTACAATTATATTTTATAATTTTATCACTAATATAAAAATAAAAATAAATTTACTAAATTATGCGTATACCTACTGACTAGGAATAGTTAATTATACGAATGAGTAATTTAAAAAGTAAAATAAAAGTTAGGAAATTTAGTATCTAGAAAAGAAGATTTAAAAAAATATTTTAAAATATTAAAATTGACATTATATAATTTTAATATTACATCTTATTCTCTACTTAATCTATATCTATATCTATACTTGTATAATAATTTTTTTTTACAAATTTTGTTATGATCCAAAATAAAATATCTCTTGGTAAACTAAGTTCTTTAAAACAATATTTTTCAATAAGCTATCCTAAATATTACAAACAGCCCTGTAGATTATTAAAACGGTTGTTGAGATTTCAAGTATACAATTTTATTGTATTGACTTTATCAATTGCCTAAATAATAAAAAACATTTTTTTTTTTTTATATAGAAAATAATACTACTAATTTGTATTGTATCTTTTAAATAGTTTAAAATTAAATACATGTAGTTTAAGCAGACACCGATTATACATTACATAATTTATTTTTATTAACTTCATGAATTTAACAAAATACTCAGATAACAGGAATTTGAAATTAAAAATATTTCATGTATTAGGTATCTATATTAATTTAACGAAATTTAAAAATTAATAATTTGTCATTTACTATGTAATTAAACGGTTGGTGGGAATTGAAAGGTAGGACCACGATTAAAGATAAGATGGTTGCTCAACGAGCTATAACTTGGTGTTGCCCGTAATTTCTTTTAACCACAGAACTGAAGTATAGCGATCCAAGTGGCGAATTTGTGCAAAAAATCGTATGTCTGTGATAATACCACAGGCAATAATAATCATAGATAATAATATGTATGATAATAATAAACAATATTCTTTTAAATTAAAATACCATCTAATAATAATAATTTGCAAGTATTTTTGATTAACCTCTATTTTTTTAATTTATATTTCATATAAAAAAAAGTTGAATGTGCACAAGATTAAAGTACACAATACTTATAAATTTAATAATATTAATACCTATATAACTTACAGCTAGATACTTAAATAAAATTTAAAAATCATTTAGTTTAAATGAAAATTATCTTTTTTTACCTACTATTAATTAGGTAGCTACTAATTTAGACAATTTCTTTTTAGTCTTATTTTGTTTTTTAGACATTTGATTTTTTATATACGTGAATTGTCTCATTCTCATTATTATAAATGTACTACATATATCTGTAAGTATTTCAGTTTCATGACTAGTACATGAAAAATTCAACTTAGTATTGTAGGTTAAAAATTCTTCGTATGTGTTTTCAAAAACATGAATAGAATCTGCATGTTTTTGGAAACATTCTTCTAAATTTCTTAGCATCAAGAACAAGTTTTGATTGGGATGAGTTAAATAACCTCTAGACTTTAAATTTACTAAATCAGCCTCTGCTGAAGTATTACCACCAAAATTTTTTAAGCCTTTTATACAAATATTGCATTTCGTTTGATTAATTAAACGCTTTGCAATATACCTAAAAATAAAAATTTCAGTTACTATATAAACAAAATATTCTTTTATATTCTGATACAAATGTATACCTACCCGGATAAATAATAAACAGTACAATCAAAAATTGTTGAGTCTGAAAAATTATTTGGTTCTAGAATATCTTCTAACTCCGTCCCACCTTCATTAACAACAGTTGCTATTTTATTTTTTAATTGTATAAGTTTTTGTTCTCGAGCTGATGAATTTAATGGATCATTTATTATGTTTCTTAAGTCTGTTATTTTTATATGATTATTCGTTTCTAATAAGAAAAATTGAATATGAAAATTTAAATAATTTAGTAATATATTTTAGTTAGTTATATTTTAGTTGTCTCGTCAGAATTTTCTAGTCCTACATAATTTTTAGTTTTGTATAATTCAATACCTGCAGCCATAGATGTACTGAACAGCTAAAATAATTAATAATTCAAGTAAAACAATAATAGTTTTTATTTTGTACTAAAAAACAATTTTATTTTATTTAGAATTAATAAGAAACTACCCTTATTTATTTTCATTATATTATACTCATTAGTTACCTGCACAGCATATTTAACTTTCATTTTGGACAAATTATTTAAATCAAAATGTTGCTTGGTTAATTTTGGGCAAACTTTGGTCAGTGAATTTTTTTCTGTCTTATAAACTGTATAATAATGACTCCACTTAATAAACGATTTAGATGGATGTATCTATAATATAAATGAAAATATAAACATAATGCACAACTATAACTAAATAATAAATACCCTCAGTTGTTTTTTCTGATATAAACGGTTACGAACAGTTTTCATTAAATGCGGCGCATCTGAAAAAACAAAAATATTTCTATTAAAATCAAAAGGATTTTCAAAATAGTTTTTGAAATCTTCTTTTTTAACACTTACTCCAGTTCTTTCCATAATGTACGGTTAGTAGTTGCCCCGTCACTAGTCAAGCCAACAACTTTTGCTCCTGCATTTTCCAGCAATATTATAGCTTTAATAACAATTTTTGCAAGATCTACACCTAACACCAAAAATTATTAAACAACTAATAATGAAATATATTATTATTTTGAATTTCTTTTATTAATGTAACTAATAATTTATTAATACCTTTTATTGGACCTTTTGATGCAAAAACAGCTATGGGTTGGGTAAAATTATCAGCTAAACTTTGCCACATTAGAATCAACTCATGGTTGGCTTTTTCAGAGCTATTTATTTTATTTTCTATTTCATTCCCATAGTCTTCTAGCCCAGTATATGTTAAAGTACGACTGTTAACACTTATACTCTCTCTTAAGAAAATTTCATCAAATAACAGAACACCTATTTTCTGTTTTCAGTTTTGATAGTGAACTTTTTTTTTAATAGTTTGAAAAAATTCAAGTCAAAACCACAACCAATTTGAACAGCTAAAAGATTTCTTCGAACTGTGTTTACACATGGCAATGGAAGTATGTTATTATCCCTTAAAAATTTATAACCACTGGGAGATCTAAATTAAATAGCATAAAATAAGGAAAAAATATAATCATAATAATGTTTTGTTGTGAGTTTAGTAGCTAGTTCTTACCTAATTTGAAAAAGAAGACACAAAAGTGTCCAGTTTTCACTATATCTTCTATTTTTAATATTTTTAAATTTGGATGCTGCAAATATCTCATGTATAAGTTCAGATTGGCTCTTGGGAATCGTATGATTTTCTAATAATTTAGATAAAGTTGAATTACTCATTTCATTCATTTGTTTTCTGCAGTTATTTAAACTTTGCTGTAATCTTAGTATTTTTTTTACTTGCTCTAGAACATTTTTGTACAACTATTTTCTTGGCTTTTTGAATATTTTCAATTTTTTTTTTTTTATTTGGGGAATAGTATATTCTTGGGCTTATTCTTTTTGAACTCTTGTAAATTTTTTTTTTTACACTATATAATAGTCGCTTGCACCATAAACAAGAACAATCACTAAATATTAAATAATTTTTATAATAAAAATTAATAATTCAATTATAATGTTTCATGTTATGAATTTGTAGAATAGATAAATTTACTCATTATCTTCAGGTAGCACTTTCAAGCATTTTTCATGGAACCAATTACCACATGTTTCAACATATTGCTTACCAAAATATGTTTTGTAGGCAGTAATATCATTTGCTGTTATTGATCCATTACAAATCCTAGTTTTATTAAATATATCTAAAACTAATTCTAAGTCTTCTTTGCTTTTTAACAAAGAATTAGAAGAACCAATATCTGCAACTGATATTTCTCGGTCATAAATATGTAAAATAATACTTAAATCTGTAAAATTAAATAAAATTATACATTAAATAATTGCAGTGTATTTTAAATAATTAAATATAATAATTTACTAACCTTCTTTTAGTACTTGATGTTTTTCGATAAACCTGAAGTATGAGACAGTAAATGGTCCCATTTTATAAAAAGAAATTGACTTTTTAAATATTTTAGCTTTGTCATCAATCAAAGTATCAACCGACCACCTAATTGGTAAATTAATTTTATTTGTTTGGTCAAATATAATATTAAACAAACTAGTTTCTTCAATTATATCATCAAGCTGTAAATAAAAAAAAAATACAATAATGTTAATTAAATGTTTTATAAATTACCTACTTTAAGTTTTTTATGAAGTGAGTACATTTTTTCTTCATATTCATTATTGATTGATGGACTACATTCCAAACTAAGACAGTAGTTATGGTCATTATTATGTTTTAATCCTATAGATTCTTTCTGGTTAATTAGAAATAATAATACATTAGGTATAATATTACTAGTGTGTAATTATTACATTTAATTCAGTTGTTTTATTAGATTATTAGAATACCTAAACAATACCTTAATAAGTAGAATAATACCTGAACATTTTGCAATGATGTGTCACTGTTAATAAAACATGGAACAGCACCTTGTCTTAATCTAGGTCGTTTTAAACATATCTAAAATATTTAATACTTGCTTATAAATCATAACATATTGAATATTAACTAATTATTATCTATTACTATATAGAATAGTTTATATAGTTGGTTATTATTTAACCAAGTAGGTTATTAAAGTTAATTAATGTATACTAAACTTAACTTACCGTGTATTTGGAAAAGCCTTGTCCAGACTCCCACGTATCAATAATATCATTTCTATTAAAATGTGATCCGCAAACTCTAAATTGTTTTTTTTAATTTTATACCTAGAATACACTCCCATTCTTTCAATTTAATCTCACTTTTAGGTACAATAAAAGAAGATTTGTGTTGATTAACACAACTCGGTACACAACACTTCATTTTAGTTAATTGGGTAAAGGTGCGTAATTATTAATGTATAATTATTAAAAAATTATATTCAAAAACATAAAAAAAAAAAAACGCAAAAGTACTAAAGTTTAATATGCTTAATCGTGATTTAAACCATGGTAAATGGGAGGGAAATTAATACCCGTTTTTTCCACTTGGAACACTAATACTCAGTTCTTATCAACAGAAATTGTTAAGAATATTTCAGAAGCATACATTTTATTAATACTACGGCTCGTTGAGTAACCATCTTATCTTTAATCGTGGGTAGGACTAATAATAAATAGTATGAATAATAAAATGTATTATAGATATCATATCGTGAGATATTATACAAATATAAGTGCACTTTCATTAAAATGTTTTATAATTTTCTTCTTGACGCGTCCGTTTTGAAAAAAAAGCAAACCAAAATGTATTTAAATTTTCAACAACTTACTCTTAATAGCCTGTTTTTCGAATATATATATACATATATATATTTATTGTTCCAAGTTTGGCCATAAGAAATTAATAACACTTAATTTCCATTTATATATATATATTAGGGTGATCTAGCAGATTTGATCAAATAAGACCACAGGAATTCAGAGTATTAATGTTAAATAACTCAATTTAATAATTTAATGTTAAATAATTAATAGTAAAGTATAGTTTTGAAATAATCAAGTTACTTCGACTAATATTATTCTATAAAATAGGATATTTTTATCGAAAATGTGTGACTTTTAATTAGCTTAAAATAACTACAAGTATAACGCATAAAAGGAAAAATTATAATTTTTATTCAACTAAAAATGTTAAACACTACAAATGTTATTTTTAAAATATCTAGTCGATTTAAATTTACATAACAAGAATCCAGTAACATTTTTAAATACGAATTTTCTGTTATTGTTACTGCGGAAATGTAGAAAAACGTCACTTAACTAGCAAAAAAGCTTACTCTGGTAATTCTTGAAAAAATGTTATTCATTCCAATTGATTTACCGGTGAAGTGTTTTCTCGTCCCGGAAAACATGCACGTGACACCGATTTGATCGGACCATTCATTTGATACGCGCGTTTCGCTGCGAGATCTGTTGCTTTTCATCGTATTATTTTTTAAAAAATCATCGAAATCGGACACAGGCACGTTAATCGACGAAATCGAAAAAGGACCTGTCATACGTCAACGCATAATTCGCATGAATTCGTACTTGAACGTAAAAAACATTAAAACGTAACTTGGAGACTGAAAGTTAGCCTTGTTTCCCGAATTGGACGAAAACCCGATATTTTCTCTTCCTTTTTTTGGCTTCGTCTTGTCGTTCATCGGCGGACGACCCGCAAGCGCATATCCGTTCTCGATATACCACTGCGTCGACTCCAATGTCTCGACTAAAACGTTCACGTAACACGCGTATATCCGAACGGTCGTACACGTTTTTATTTGGCGTGCCAAATCGCGAGCACGTGATTTCAAATAAGTGCGTACTTATTTGATTTATCGGTACGTCAATATTGTCCGTACGACGACCCGCGTGAATCTCACCAAAAGAACTGTGTTTACACACTGAGGTATTTTTCCCTAAAGCGTTTTATACAACGTTCACACAAATGTAGTGCTCGAGAGTGAATCAACTGTTGAACACCGTTGTCGTCTCGAAACGTTCGAAAATCGAGTTCAAATCGAGGCGACCCGTCAACCGACATTAAAACTACAGTGCACTGACCGAGTGACACACTCAGTGGCGTAGGACTCGCTAATTATAGGATAAAAACGCAACTTTTGCACAATTTGGCGCCCCTTTGAAATTCGTACCCCTAGTGTAGGCACAGTTCGCCATACCCTTGCTACGTCATTGGACTTACGTTAACGTTTTCTTCAATGGCGGTGCCAGAAACGGGTCGGGCCCTACCCGAAAATACTCGGCCCCACCAGTGGCCCTGCCACTGGCCTGACCTTAGGCACAACAATAATAATATAGTAATTTTACATTAGTGGAATTATTTCAAAGCGTCGTATTGCTGTTTAAGATTTTAAAATATGGTTTATATTAATCGTCGTTATTATTCGTTGCGGCTGAAATCTCGTATTTCGCGGCCCCGCCCAACGAAAAGAATCCTGATCACCTTGATGACACGAATCTGTTTGTTTCATATTTGCCGCGCACCCACGCAGACGTGCCAGTGTGCCGGCACCGCGAAGACGTGGTGATCGTGATGAAGAAGTCGGACCCGGTGACCGGGCCGGTGATCCGGTGCCGGGCAGGACACGGACATCCGCCGGCCAACCAGTACAATTGGAGATTCTACCCGGAACAGGCCGAGCCGGAGCGTCGGCACAGCGGGCCGTCGCCGGATGGATCCGACGGGATGATGGCGTACGCCGGACGGTCTACCAGAGGGCTGGGATCGTTGCTTGCGGAGACGGCTGTGCCGGACGGCGGCGGCGGAACATCATACGCATTCACCACGAATACGCCGGTGTTGAAATCGTACGCGTCCAACGTGGCCGCCGCCGCTGCCGCTTCGTCCGCTTCATCCGCTTCGGGCGTGGCGACATCCCCGAAGTTCTTGCACGGTCGCTTGGAGTGCCGGGCCGTCAACTCGATGGGCGTGCAAACGAAACCGTGCGTTTACCGTATCACAGGTAAGCAAGGCATCCTAATAATTTTTTTGGGTTTCGGGTTTCGGGTGTTCAAACACCGCAATACAACATTTAAACAAACATTTGGATGTTAATAACCGTTATTATTCGGGTTAATATTGGTTAATACGGGTGTTGAGTAGTCAAGGAAAAATATTATTTTTCATTGGTGGAGGGTGGTAAGCCCCCCTCCACTAATGAAATATTTATATTTTTTGTTACCTGCCCATGTAATAAAATATCAATATCTTATACAACTGTGCAACAGTTTTTTAGACCAAACTATCATTATGTTAATTTCAATCAATGGTGTTACCACAATTTATTTTCGAGGAAGAGGGGGGGTATTTTATATGTGTATAAAGCTTATAAATTATAGTATCTATTAAGATTAAAAATACTAACACTATATCCTAGTCCTAGTTAATGCAGGTATATTGCATGCAACAAAAAACAAACTATTTTGTATTCTGCGTTTGTATTTGTGGCATAGGTGGAAATCAAGGGAAGGGGCTTGAGGGGACTAAGCCCCCCCAAAAATATAAAGTACAGGTCTTAGCCCTTGCCCTAAAAATTGTTAAGTGACTAAAAATAAAATAATTATTATAATTAAAAAATGCATTTTTAATAACAGAATTAAAAAAAAATATTCTGTGATAAAAATCAAATCAAATTTGTAAGATTTTACAAAGTTCTTGTCATGACTTGGAACTATCGCAAGTAATGTAATATTAATAATATGTAATAATACCCGTATAGGTTGTTTAATTTAATTAATTAATAATATCTGTTTAGAATACCTACTCCAAAAATGTTTAAGATAAGGCACCTAATTGTTTTTTTGTTTAAATTGTTGATTAAAAATGTCAAATTGTCAAACAATTTATTGAAATTGCCTCAACAAAATTCCTTTAACAAACAAGTTTGTTTAAAATATAATATTTTCTTTTCTTTTCAATGAAGATCTTTAACTGATTTTTGTATTAATCTGGCATTCATTTCTTAAAAATCTCAATAACTGTTCTATATTTAGGTCACTCGAACTATTCTACATCGTAGACACAATTGTATAAATGTATCAAATAAAATATATCACTTACCTAAAAAAAATTAATTTTTAGAGTATTCATCCGTAACTTAATTTAATTATTAATATTTTCATTTTATACACAGATAAAATGTTGATCGGTCAAGGCCATCGTGAAATCGCTGATTGTCGACCGATGTCAAGGAAGGAACTACCAAACGAAACCGTCAACTCCTCTGATTTATATCCGTGTGGTATTAAAGTGGAGGACATGGTCACCAACACAAACCGAAAGATAAGATTTTGCATTGCATGCACACTAAACGAATCTTCGTCGCATTACCATAACCAGCGGTTCAGTTACATACTGCAGTTATTGAAAAACTTGCCGGGAAAAGCACCTTCGTCAGTTATTATTGCATTTAATATAACTGGTGTTACCATAACCGATAATAGTGGAAACAATAAAACTAATTCTAACGAACAAGACGAGGATGATTATTATTCGTATTTCGATCCAGAAGAAGAGGACATGAAATATGGAGAGAGGGGCGATTATAGTCAAGAGATTAAAAACGTTGTTCAGAGAGTAGTATTTGTTATTGACGACAGTGTGGAACCAGGAATGTACCGGGGAAGAATTTATAATAGTAATGAAGGCATCATATCATCGATCGTAAAGGGAATGATCAATGTGGCAGCTGCTACAATGAATGATATCAATGTCAATGATGATTCCGACAACTATATCATTGATGAAATTGAAGACAACAACACAGGTAGGGTTACGTATACAAATTGATATTGAATTGCTTGAAACATTGATTTATTTTTAAATTTAAGTCACTTTTTTTTAATATTTTATGATAAAATAATAGTATAAACTATGTAAGAAACAATCGATTATTTGAACACTAACCAGTTAACAATATCAGTTCATACAAATTAAAATTCAGTTTTATAAATTATATCTCATTTTAATGTTTACCAATAACATTAAAGCATTATAGTATTATTAGATATCAATTATTAAATGTATTTTTACTTTATTTGAGTAAAAATATACTTTGGAAAATGAACGATAGTATGTTGAATAACTATTGAGGAACGACTGTTTTGATGAATTTTTTAATAAATTAGTATGAATTAAGTTTTCGATTTAAAAATACTCTATATTATTTGTTTCTCTTTAGTCGGCTATAAAAGGACAAAAGTTTAACTAAAAGTTTCATAATTAATTTTTTTTTTATATAATTAAAATCATATATTTGTAATGGTACGGATTTATTTAATATCAACATGTGGTTTTAATGATTTTAAATTATCCAATATAGAATTAGTATTTCTTAACTATACGCATTGCTCTACGAAGTTTATTTATTTATTTATTTATTTAGAAAATAAAATGCAATTTTCGCTATGTCGTTAAATTTATTTGGAAAACTTCGATAACTTGGATAAATTAATTTTTATGTATTTCTGATTCTGATATTTATTTTCAAAAAATATATTATTATACATGTACATGCTTCTAAAAAGTAGATAAGTATTTTTATTCGTTTCACACAACAATGAACTATTAGCCATATTTTACACAAAACACACTTTCAGATATTTTTAGTAAAATACTTACTAAAAAGAGATGTACGACTTAATCTTCTTGTGTTTATTTGTACAAGTACAAACATATTTGACGTTAAAATACCAACACTATTAATTTTTATTATTTTGTTAGATAAAACGAAAATTATTGATTCCGATAAAACTACTTTGCAAATTAAATGATAGTAATTCGAAATAAATTGATAAATAGGTTCAAAATCGTTTATACCTAAACAAATAAAATATTAACTAACTACTTCACAACAAACAGATACCGAATAAGACTGGTGTTCTTGTTAGTATAGTAAACGCTGTGGCCAAAAACTCGTGTTTATTTTTAAATAATTTTTTTTTTGCCAATGTTATCAATGTCTGATACATGGTAATAACAAAACTTTCCAATAGAATACTGAAGAATCATGATAACATTATTTTAAACGCATGCATTATTAAAATCGTCGGTGGGGTGTTTAAGAACAAGAAGAAAAACCACCCTTTGAAGTACGAAATTTAATATTATACAATATTACGTGTAAACACGGATGACATAATATTCTACGTTTGCTTAAAAAAAACGTAAATAGTTAATTCCGAGCCAAGACGGTTAAACAGTGAAAACAAACTGGCGTACTTGATCTTTTTACTTGTGTACATTTCCGAACCGCCTCTCTTTGTGGAGTGTAATGCTGTCGGTGTCCGGAAAAATGCACCCCACTCATGTCCGAGTGACGACCGTTAAGCGTAAAGCCGGATGACCGTTTGCTGAAAAATTGTGCAAATAAACCGATACACTTAGATACAAGCAGATGTACCATTCAGTGGCGTATCCAAGAGGATGTTTAGAGGGTTATAACTCCTCCGAAAATATTTCAATTTTTAATTAATTTAATGATCGATCGACACAGCGCCCATCGGTCCCCATTACTTTCAAGATATCATACATAGTATATACTACGTATACAATTAACTAATCCCCCCCAAAAAAAAAATTATGGATACGCCCCTGGTACCGTTATCTGCGGGTTAACGCCGTCGTGGGCGCGCGTGCTCTCATATCACAGGGCGCATTACAACGAAATCATAACAATCGTAACAATATCAACAACAATAGTGCAACCGGCGGTTGTGTGTATCACGCGCGCCCGCGAATAATAAATAAAATTCGTTCGCAAGAATTATAACTTTTGTCAGCGGCGTGCGCGCGAGTCGAAACGGGGAACGCCGGGCGAACCTCGGGGCGTAATGGCGTGCACGCCCGACGGACCGGAAACAGCCGAGATAATCCTCGTTCCTCTCTCCCGACGCTTCCGGTAACCCACGTGCATCGCTTCCTTCGTCTTCGAAAGTCTTTGTAACCGCCGAATCTTTGTATACTATATTACCTGTATAAAACACCGCCACGCGCGTTGTTGGCATAACAATGTTCGGTGCGCTTGTTGTACACGTAATACACACACGCACACGCAATCGGAAGCTGTGCTTATTGATGTGTGATTTTTGATTATAACAACAAGTGCACGCGTGCGTTGTGCACAAAACATGCGAGTCGGTTTCGTGCGAGAAAAGAGCGTCGTTTCCGCGCGTAGACGACGACTAGAGATGGTAATCTGTTGTCTGAGGGGTGGTAGGAATGTGAGCCGTTGTAGTCTCGCGTACACGCGTATACACGCATTTCACACCTTTAACACCGCCGTCGACGACGGATAAACGAAACGGTAAAATTATTTTATACGTGAGGGTTTCCGGTACGATAGACACTCTCACCGTCTATCTCTCTCTCGCATACACGCACACACGCACATTCTATTTTCCTTATGCACTAGAGACAAGAATACATGTTTATCACGTGCGAGATACTGCGAGTATCTGGCGCGCATGATAAAGATATAGAAGCACAGACTCCATATTACCGCCAGCGAGTACGTTTATGCGCATGCACACTGTGGCGTGTCCCCGAATTTCTACGAGGGAAACGTAAAGGGATCCATCTCCTAACTCACATTTCGTAAAACTATCTCCTTTAACATTCTTCCTGAATATTCACTGTTCGGTTAACACAATTGACCGCGATAAAAATCACCAATCGGTTATAAATAATAGTTTTATCTTAACTTATTATCAACTAACTATGATTATATATCATCTCGACCGCAGTTCCGAGTAGTGTTCCACATGGACCGGTCACGTTAGTCCGGTCCAGTTTTATCGTATAAAAATTATTGAAAGATTGGTTCGGTTAAACACCATATTTTTATGAAAGATTTCAGTTCGGTCCGATTTCTAAAATATAATGAGATCGGTACGGACCGGTTAGGCGGTTACTGCTCGTTTAAAATCCATTGAACAATGATTATACATTTTAAAGACATTATTTGCAGGGCCGGCGGAAGGCACGTGCGACCTTTGCGACCGCACAGGGTAGAAATTTATTTTAGAATTTTAGGGGCGGCATTAGTTATAAATAAAACTATGTAATTTTCACTATTCCTCACTGTAAATCTAAAATAAAAATAATGGTGATTAAATTATTTTGAATGGTCCTGTGTAATTTTATGTAGTACCTAAGTAAGTAATATTAGTAAATAATATAATGTGTGGGCTAGCCATTAGCATTTTTGCTCCGCGTATTTTGCGATTATCTTTGTGGTTTCCAATTAGCAAACATGAACCAAATCAAATCACGATTAAGTTCCCCAAAAACGCATGTACAATAATCAATAATTATTAGCGATAAAAACTAGTTCACTTATGAGTTGTGACTAGTGACAACTATCATAGACGAAACTACGGGTCAGGCCAGTCAGGCCATGGCCTGACCTAATACCAACGAAAAAAAAATATATATATATATTATATATTTTAATAATTATTTAGGCGTTATAAACAATATATTTATACATGTACACGTATACATTTGTACGTTTCATATAATACTATAATATAATAAGTATATAGGTACAATTGCTACAAATAAGGATTATAATAGAAAATAATAAGACTATTCTATGTATTCGAATAATCGGTTTTATTAGTTATTGCTTAATTTAGACATTTGACGTTTATTTTTATAATTATATTATAGGAAATAATAGTTAATTTTACGTAATAATACTTTTTATATTTTTAATTTGGCGTGACCTAATAAAAGTGTCTAGTTTCGCCTATGACAACTATCGAACTATACGTAGTCTATTCTCAACCGTCAACGATTATAGAGTGCATATTATTTAGTTGATCAATATTCAACACGTCATATTTATAATTTGGTAAATGTTTTTTTATTTTAAATAATTGAACAGTTATTAATATTAAATAGGTAATTTATTTTATACAATGGAAAACTAAGAAATAATACATCCCGATATTTGATTTTAAATTTTGAATGTACGTAACCTACGTGCAGGGCTTGAAATCGAAATAAAAAATTTCGATTTTAATTTCTATTTTGATTATTGATATTAGTTTTTTTTAATTTCGATTTTGGTTTCAAATATTGATATTTATTTTTTGCAATTTCGTTTTTGATTTCGAATATCGATTTTCATTTTTTTCAATTTCGGTTTCAGAAATCGGTATTTATATTTTTTCGATTTCGAGTTCACAACAGAATGTTATCTATCTATGACATAATAATTTCTCAAATTTTAGTACATCATCAGCATAATAGTATTGTAAGCTGTTACTGATATAGGTAGTATATATTTAAATCTATTTTTTTATTACCTATGTTATAAAACATTTCGTACAAACTACAATTATTATTAAAGTGTCTCAAATATGAAAAAAACATAATATGAAAGTGAAGCTAAAATGAAGTCAACTAAGGATATATCTATGTGAAATGATTAAAATGTAAAATAAAGTTTTTTATTCATAGACTCAGACCAAGGCCGTATCTAGAAAAAATTTTCGGGAGGGGTCCAAAACATGTACATTATAATTTTATTGAATTTAGATTTTAACTTTTGATATTTGGTTAAAAATAAGAAAGAAAAAGATTTAATCTTCTTTTATTTAAATTAATATCATATTTTCATATGATATTATGATATAAAATTAAAAGCAATCAATGATTAATTGGAGCTTAAGTTATTTTTGACTGAAAATATTTATGTTGGTATTAAAAATTAATAATATTTAAATAAATAATTTAAATAAACGAATAACTATTCGTTGG